ACTACACACCCACCCACTCAGTCTCGCCTATTTTCATTGTCAACGCAACAATATCTGGGGGAACAGCAGTGGTCTGTAATCCAATAAGACCATTGATTAGGCTACAATGATTCAATTCAAGCCAATGGTTGAGAGCAGGGAACAGGCTCGGACCCTTCTTGTCACCTTGCAGGGCCAGAGGCCCTCTTCATGCTGAACTCCCCCCCTCCCGAAGCCATTCAGTCCTTTATGGGAAATGGAGAGCAAAAGGAGTGAAAGATGGCAATTATCTAATTGGACTATTAACAAACAATTCTGTGAGTGTGTCTGGTAGGGAGCAGAAGAGGATGGGGAGGGGGGTGCTGGACTAACTTCATTTAGCCAGTGTGTGGGGGCAGCCTGTTGGAGAGAGGGAAAGGTTGTTTAAAGAAAAGATGAGAGGGAGGGATTGTTTAAAGAAAAGGTAAGAGGAGGCTACGAAAGGGGGCCGCAGGGGCAACGGGGTGATTCTGCGCCGAGCTTGGGAAAAAGAGTTTGGTGGGATGCGCACCAGCTGTGGTCTGAGATGTTCCAGGTCAACAAAAGATGAAGATTTCCTGCACGGAGGCTGCGGGACACTAAAATGTCTTGGTGCAGAGGCGTCTTCAAATATCTTTTGTTTTTGAAGACTGTCGGTCCTGTGTGATACCTGTTGAAAAGAACAACATATGTTAGGTTTGGGATGAGGGTTCCTACCTTGTTTTACGACACTTATATGCTCTCTTAAGTCACTATCATCTCTTGTTACTAATATGAAAACTTAACTTACTAATATCAACCCTTAAGGTACTAATACGTTCTCTTAAGTTACTAATATCAACTCTTAAGGTAGTAATACATATATTTACTCTTAAATTATGAATATTGACCCTTCAGACACAAATATGAACACTTTAACTCTGAAAACCAAACTTTAAGGTACTAGGTACTAGATATGTACCTTTAATTTATAAAATTCAACCCTTAAGATAATAATACATACCTTCAAGTCAAGTAATTTAAACCCTTTTTGTTTCTAAAAGTTACTAGTATCAATCCATAAGGTATTAAAATATACCCTTAAGCTATTAATATCAACCCTTGGGTTACTAATATCAAACATTTAAGTACCAGTATACTTTAGGGGTAGATAAGGTACAAAGGCAACACATTTTTTGATAGTGCATGCGTCTCAACTAGCTTTACCAGTAGGAACCACTTGGTCAACCAGCTTCCAACATGGCTGATCAATATGAATAAAATGCCTGTGCTGGTCCAATAACTAGAGTGGCACCAAACCAGCCAGCTTAGACTATTATTGGTTAAAGCTGGTGGGTTAACCAGGTTAACTACCAATTCAGGTACTGCAAATGTAGGCAAAGGTTTTAACTTTATTTTGTTTTGGGGATTTTTGCTTTTCTTTTTATGGGAAAGTAGAATGTAGTGGTGGGTGGGAGAATGGGACCAGACTTGAACCTGGGAACCTGGGTGCCATCTGTTCAGAGCATGTACATAGTCCACTGAACCTGACGTGTCAGGAAATTTTTGATCCTGCAGTCACGCAAATTACACCTCAACCTTTTGATACTTACAAATATTACAAATATTTGAGTGTAAATATAAATTCCACTGTATTTTCATTATAATCATGTGAGTGGTATGAGGGACAAACTGCACTGACAGCTTCTAAAGCCTCATAAGACGCAACAATCTAGTGATTTGTGTTGAAAATGAATGTCCTGACCTTCAGTTTAGTCATTTCTGTTGTTAACAATAGCAGTCATAACATTCTGAAATGCTAATATTTTCGATATGGCATTTTTGGGCTTTCGGCTATTTTTTTTGTTTTGTTTAACATGTCTGTGTGAAGGTTATTCAGATATCCCCTAATGAAGTAGCTGTGAAGATCCCAGAAAAATATGAGTGCTGTTTCCTCTTCCTCTCTGTTTGTCTCTATTGTGTCACTGCTGGTAAAGCCTCCCATCAGATGGCAAGTAAAGCCCAGTGTCAGAATGGCAAAACTCACCCACCTCATTTATTTAGAGACAACAAAGCACTTAAGCGTCAAAAGAGAAGAGGGACAAAGGCGAGATGGGTGGAAACACACACAGATAGAGACAAAAAGACAGATGGTGAGACATATCAATAGATAAATAAGAAACAAGACATGACATGACAATACCTGAAGATGGGAAGGGCACATTTTGTGCAGCTCCTTTAAGTCTGGGCGATGCAGAATGTTACACAGAACTCCAAGATTTTACAAACCTCCTGTGGATTTTGGAAAAACAAAACAGGAGTGCATAAGAATGATGAAAAAGGCCAGGACTATTGATCACTACTTTCATCAAGAATACCTGCTTCATAAAATGTCTATGTGGATGTTATGAATGTGTGAAACTATTCAGACTCCCACAATTTAGTATTCATTAAATTTGATAACTATTTAATGTCATAATTGAGACAAAAACAGATTAACAATCAAGTAAAAAATAAATACATACATATGTACCATTATGCACCAATATTAAAATTCTGGCCTATAGGGATAACATTTTTAAGGTTAGGTTTAATTTTTCATTTTGGTTTTAATTTATTTTAGTGTAGTTTTAATGTTACAGCCGATAACCAATAAATGGCTGATATTAAAATTGTATACCATTTTATTAAATAATATTTTAAAAAAAAAA